ATTTCCACCCCCCAAAAAGTGGGGAGGTATTGGCAAACATCCCATTCAACATTTAGAAAGGGAGAAAAGGAAATTGTAAAAGCGCTCTGTTCCCACCCCTGTCCATTCCCCCGGTTCAAAGGGAAGCACTCTTGGGTTTTTTTATTTTTTGCAAGGGGAAGAGTTAGTTGCAATTAATTTCTTAACCAAAAGCAACAGATAGTAGCGCTTCCTAAAGAGAACTTGGTCGGATTCATGTTTAGGAAAAATCTCTTTCAGATAAAGCAGCTATCAATGATCTGATAGACACAAAGAATGGCTGTATGTTGTGTTGAGGGAAAGTGTCAAGTGGCATATCATCAAGGTTAGATCCTGTGTTGTTCAAAATATTTATAACTGTCTAGAATGAGAGGTTAGAAAAAAGTAATTATCATATTTGTAGATAATAAATATATGAGAGATAGCAAATGCCTTAGAGGGCAATATCAAGATTCAAGAACATCTTGAAAAATTGGGGAAATGGGCAGAAACAAGCACAATTAATTTCAACTGGGACAGAAGTAAAATCTTTCATTCATGTAGGAAAAAAACAAAGATTTGGTTATAGCAAATAGTGTGTGTCTGTGTATGTGCACCCATGTGTGTGTGTCTGTGTGTTTGTGTGCGTGTGCGTGTGTGCTCCTGAGCAGATACCCTAACTTAGATTTTACCTGCAACAGACAGATTCCTTTCTTGGCAGTGTTTATCTGTTGTTATATTTTCCCTCCTTTTATCTTCCTAATTGGCCATCTATTTAGTTCCCTATTAACAGCACAAAAGGTGTGTGGATTGCTGGTATGCCAAGTTGTAACACACACACACACACCATCCCCACCCCCTCCTGAAATCTGCACGAGGAAAAGAACAAACAAACAAACTGAAGTGCTACTATCTGTTGCTTTTGGTTAAGAAATTAATTGCAACTAACTCTTCCCGTTGCAAAAAATAAAAAAACCCAGGTGTGCTTCCCTTATGCCGTAAATTATTCATTGTCATTAGTTATTGATTTGGATATCTGGCCTGAAAAGGGTTCTTCCTTCTCAGAAAAAAAAGCCAGAGGTGGAAGTCCCCCCACCTTTTCCCTCCTTCTCCCTCCCATTTCACCAAGGCTGTTCCTTCCTTCCTTCCCCCTCTAGCTGATTTGTTGGGCCCCACCTGTCCCAGGTGTCGAAAAACCTAGGACGAAACCTCCTTCTGTGTATGGGCTGCGGCGAAGTGCCTGGGAGAGAGTGGCCGTGGCCATTGTGCCGGGGTGAAAGACTGGCGGAGGGCCAGCCAAGGAGAAAAGTTTGTGGCTAATAACCCGGAGGCAAAAACCTCAAGGCAAAACAGGCAAGGCAAAGAGACTGAGCCGAAAAGTCCCATTCCGCTCTTGGACATTGGGACACAAGAATGTAATTGTGCAATTTTCAGGATGATGACATCACCAAGAAGACCAATGTATAACTAATGCTTATTAAAGTGTGGTGAGGCGTTCTCCCAATGATATAAATGTATCTGGAATATGTAAACTTTCTGCATTCATTGATATTGCTGAAGTCTTGACGTTGCAGGTTTTAACATCTGAGCTGCAAAAATCTGGACAACGACTAAGTTGCAGCAAAGAATTTGCAGTTTTTGATTATTGTATCTCTATGTAATATGTACAGGTTCTTTGGATCTTTTCAGTAAAAGTGTGGTAAGGTTAGTTATTTTATGCTTCCCTCCCCAGCATTTATCAGACTGATCCTATCTATTCAACGCCCATTCCTCTATTTTGGATTTTTCTGGAGACGGATATAGTCTACCATGTGCTCTTCCATCACATTTTATGAACACAGAGATATAATTACATTTGTTTCTTCATTTCATGGAGATGCTCTTTGGGTGTGTGCTTGCTTGGGTGTGCACCCCCTCTTCCACAAGTGCCTCAATCTAAGTATGACTTAGTCTAGATGTAACTCCATTCATGTTAAACCTTCAAAATATTGACAAAATGCTTAACTTGTCTTTGGCAGCAAATGTTGTATACTCCTGCTATAAAGAAGGTGACAGTTAAGGTGACAAAATGAATATAAAGTTTTCCATGTTAATTTTTAATTCATTGAAAACTTTACAAAAATTAAAAGAAAAATCTAAAGAAAAAGATAGAAAAGAAAATGAAGAAGAAAGAAAAAAGGTGCAAGAAAAAAAAAAGAAAACTACAGTTAAGAAATATAGACTTTCTACCTTTTTAACAGATATTGGCAAATCTAATCTCTCTCCTCCCTCTTAAATCACCCAAAAATCTCTTCAATCCCATATTAAATTCTCATCTTTTTCAGTCGTTAGAGCCATAAATCATGATTTCATTTTTCTTCTTTTAGTAAGTGGTCCATGAAAAGCTTCCAGTCTTTTAATAAAATTTTCTATGCTTATTTTCACGTTGGATATGATCTCTTTTGGCATGGTCAGTGGATTACACCCTGTGAAGTTCCTCTATTTTTTTCCCCCTCATCATGTTCATTTTAAGTATTTGTAAATACTTAAATAGACCCACCGAGCCTTATGAAGGATACCTTATGATTGTCTCCTTGTATCCACTGATTATTTCCATCAAGATGGAGGTCTCTTCCCCTCTGTTTAGGACTTGGTTCTGGATCTCAAGTGAATGGGAGAACTCAGATTTGCATGATATCTTCACTTGCAAATCTTTGGGGTTCTCTGTTTTTGAGTTGCCAAGGAAGGAGAGCTCTCATTTGGATATTATTATTATTATATTGTTTGTTGCCCCATCAGCCAGATGTCCAGACCGGTTTTGGCATTTTGTCCGCCTATTGACTCCTTACCAAAGACCTCAGATAGGCTGATATTGATGTTTGATTATTATTATTATTATTGGATTGGACAACTGGATCTCCTGCTTGAGCAGGGGGTTGGACTAGAAGACCTCTAAGGTGCCTTCCAACATTCTGTTATCAGACAATCAATCCTACACAATAATGGGGTAATTTTGCTCCTGGGATACTCTGATGTTGTAACCTCTATAAAACAGAAGGGAGGCAGGATTTTCTCTCTTCCATGAAGAAATGATAGTCTTCTTCTTAGTTTCTGGCCTGGTATGAAGTCCTCTCTAAGTAGGGGCGAAAGAATGGAATTAGGGAAATAATACATCCAGTAAATTCCTTTGGCTGTCTTCCTTTTGTCCCCATTCTCAGGTCAGAAACTCAGTCTTGCAACGAATAAGCTGGGGAATGTATTTATAAATGGGTTTTTAAAATATCAATTTCCCCCCTTTAGGATCAAAGATCCTCCACAGGCCTCAGTGTAGCTCAGGAAAAGTAAAACAAAATTAAAAAAAATTATATGGTGCTTTGGAATCTCTTCCCAGAGAACATGGGATTGCAGCCTAAGAGGATTATTGAAATGAACCTCAGTTAAGTAGAGAGAATTATAGTTTTGTAAGCTAGTAGCATATTTCATGCTAATGAAAACCTAAGACGATTGTGATGTTTTTGTAAGGAAAATAATAAAGCTGGCTCTATGTTATAAAATGGACACTTAATCCGATCTTAAAGATTTCAGAATTATTTATAGTGCACAAAGCATTTTGTGAATCTGTGAAAAAAGTTTTCAAATTCTCACACCTACTGGGCTTTGACTCTGAACTTGTATTGATTTTAATTCCATCCCACTCTTTCCCTAGCAAACTCAGTAGAACATATTATGACAGAAATCTCATTAATCAGCCATCCAGAAAGTGTCCAGACCCAGATCTACTTAGCCTTAGAAGAGCTAACTCTTATCATAGGGTCCTGGACATTCTTTCGCATTCCTGCTCAATTCATTTATTTGGAAGGCAAGGAGGGAAGAGTCTTGTTCAGTGACCAGTCCAAAATGCTTTCCCACTGCATCAGAACTGAATTGTAAGCCTTTCCTGCCAGGAAGGTGAAAGCAAACTCAGAATATTACAGCAAATCCTCCAATTTCACTTTCCATTTTTTTCCTGCACCTCCTCTGGGATCAGCGATGTTTAAGAAAACAGAAGGAGCTGATCAGTCTCTGGGGACCAATCTTTATAGAAACACACATCTGAGCTAAATAAATTTCTCCTCATTCAGTTTAATATGATCTCTGTCATTTGGAATATAGTTAGATGAATGTATCTGATCAGCCAAGGATGATACTACTAAGATTTTAGCAAACATTATTTCCTTGCTCCTTATTTGGAAACTTAAGAATAAATAGAAGAAGCAGCAAAATTTGAAGGAAGTCCAAATTTTGGGTCAAAATCTGAGCCAGGCGTTAGGTTTGAATCAGGGGTGGGTTCTACTTACCTTTACTACAACAGGGCCACACATGCACATTAGCTTTGCATGCGCAGAAACTTCCTGATGATGTCCGGGTCAGTGGGCGGAGCCTCCTGCCGGTTTTACTAACGGTTTTTGCGAACCAGTCCAAACCAGGGGCAACCCACCACTGGTTTGAATGAGAAATAATAGTACAATTTAGTGTTTCCATTTAACTTGCATTTTCCTGTATTTATTTTGATTAAAATGTAACCCATATATAGTTGCATTTCTAATTTGAAATTCCAGTTTAAGATTCGGTATTTGAAACATAAGTTTCCTGTAACTCTGGCGGTCCAAAGAAGGACAATAGATGAGTGGGCAATGTATGGGTTTTAGGTCCTGTGACGGCACCCTGAGTTCCTGGCCCACATAGTACATAAGCTACATTCATCACAATGGTACAGAATGGCATTTATCATATAGAACCTGGACATTTCAGTTTTTTACACACCATAAGCACAGTTTCAGTGAACAAAATTCAGTCTTCTAAGTTTCTTGCCTCCTATCACTATCTTTCCAAACAAATTATTGTTTTTGGGATAAGAATTTTCTTAAGTGGCCATTTCTGTTAGAACAACATGAGAGAAGGTGGAAGGGCTAGGAACTCTACTATCCTCCAGGTGTTCTAGAATCCAACTGCCTCACCATTGGCATTATGACTGATCAGTTACAGCTCAACATTTATATACCAGCTAGTAGTCAGAGAACACAGTGAAAATTCCTTAATCTCATGACACACGGACCAATGCAACCATGATTTCACCTGGGAACTTTCAGCATCCTAGACTAAGATAAATCCAAAAATGTGGGGACTCCTGAAAGCTTGGTATTCAGACAAGTCAGCCATCAACAGGCACATACATGTAAATAACATTTACACTCTATTCAAAAGAGACAATAAAAACGCTCATCAGGAAATGAAAAACCAGAAGAAGACCTCACCAGCAATCAGCACTGGTATAAGCAGGGATTAGCACCAGGATTAACACCCAAACAATCAAGAATAAACAACAGCCTAATCGAGGAATTACCAATTTAGACAAACAATCAGGCAATAAACTGCCTAATCCAGGAATGACCAACTCAGACAAACAAATGTGCAGTAAATAACAGCATAATCAAAGAACTATCAAGGAGAGAACAATACTGCCACCAACAATGGCAAGCAAGGAATTGGATATACAAACAGGGAGCAAACCCCACTCCTTTCTAATACTGAAGATGTTACCTAGTCAGGTAAAGTAGGCTACGATGCCATATCACATTGGCCTTAAAAGAGCACTGAAAGCACTAGTACAATATTGTAAGGAAGAGCAACTAGAGCTCAACTATCAGAAAATCAAAATCATGGCATTTGCCAAAAGATACCAGATTCACTTTTGGAAGATTGATGGTCACAAGACCGAGCAGATCTCCTATATCAAACATCTGGGAGTAGTCTTATATTCTTCTACAAATAGTAATCCCCATGGTGACTACATAGCTGAAAATGCTCCGAAGAACTCATCTGCCATCCTTAAGACAAGAGATGGCCGCTAAATTCCTGCTGCATTTAAATTATTTGAAGCCAAGCCAATAGCATAATTTCTTTTTGGTGCCCAGCTGGGCCCCTTCTCCAACTTCTCTAACTTTGTACCACTAGAACTTGTTTAATCCAAATTCTATTGGCCCTTCAAACCCCAAAATGTATCTCAAATGCCATCTTGAGACTAGACAAAGGCCTCATGGAAGTAGAGGCTAAAGTGTGGGGTAGCCATACTCAACTACTGACTTAGGCTATATTTTTTTCCCCTCTTGGTCTCATCCCACCTAGGAAAAGGACAATGAAACTAAAATCTCATCCTTGAGATTCTCTCGAGATCTACTTAGCATGGGATATGATCTGGTCAAAGTTCTTATTAAGCAGCATAGAGTGGACACAAAGCGCCAATTAGAAAGAGCCAGATCCCCAACTTTTATTATCAGTGAACCCAATAAGTATTCTGCCTCCTCTATGCCATACTTAATGAATCTTGAAGTATCTAATCATCAAAAGGTCTCTACTTTGGCACAATGTCCACATTCTCCCCTCAGCTGCCCTTGAAGGCCAATATGGGAACATCCCCTACTTAGAGAGACAACACTCCTGTGACTCTGGACTCCTAGAAACAACAGAACATGTACATTTTCAGTGTGCATATTAGGCAGACACTTATACTAGTTTTATTTTACTATTACTGTATAAATACCCAGAGTGCCCAGGGCAATTTTATGCCTCCCAGTTGTTCTCAGATACTAATCCTCCTATGACATATAGTGTCACAAGGTTTTGTGCAGCAGCACTCAAAATATGTCATAAGAGAAAGTGTAACAAATTAGTTTTAATGAATGTCTGGACCATGATGATAAACTCTTATTTATTATGATAGTTTTAGTTTATGTTTTTAAGGCCCATTATTACTTTTTATTACTTTAAAAAATATTTTAGATTTTTAAAAAGCTTTTAATGCAATTTTTAGTTTTCTGTTTTTAAAATATTTCTAACAGGTTTTTTTTTTTGTACTCCACCCTCCTTATGCTGGTCTGTGATCATAATAAAGGTTGGTTGGTTGATTGAGTGATTGACATAGTAGTGTCAGAGGAAATGTTCAATCCCAGGGACACAAGCTATAGGTCACCATGAAGCATTTCTTTAAGTACATGCATAGTTGATGAATTTCAGTATGTATATCCCTGACTCTGGAAACTGACTTCCTGCTATGTCTACATATAACAAATATTTATTTCTCTCTCCACTGTGCAGTGAGTGACCTGGAATGTTGACAAAAGAGAGCTGGCAAGATCCATCTTTTCCCTCTTTAATCCAGCTTTTGAGTTCAACGGCTTTAACTTTGTCTGCCTGAAGATTTGAGTGCAGCTAAAAATGGAGCTGTGTAAATTGCATAAAAGTTGTCGAGAAATGTGCATATCTATCCTGCAAAAGCCTCTGAGTGCCATTTGTTCAGTCTTGTAAACCAGAAAAATTGGAATCAACTATGGCTGCCTTATTATCCCTTGTTCCCTGTGGCTTGTGTTTTCATGGCATACTACACAATAAAATTATCAAATGAACTTTTCCCTGAGGAATTGAGTCCTTTGGGAGCAGGGGTGTTAAACTCAAGGCTTGTGGGCCAGATCCGGCCCATGGGGGTGCTTAGATCTGATCTGTAGGGCTGCCCTGGAAACAGCAAAGGACCGGCCTATGGTGCCTCTGCCAGTGAAAATGGAGCTCGTAGGGCTGTGTGCAGCCCCCCCCCCGAACTCTATTTTTGGTTGCAATGGCCTTCTGCAACCCTCTGCTAGTGAAAACACAGCTCGGGGGGGGGGAGTGTATGCAGTCCCCTTGAGCTCCATTTTTGCTGGTAGAGTGATGTTGAGCTGGGCACACACACCCTGGCCACCTCCCGCCCCCAAGGTCAAACACAACCCTGATGTGGCCCGCAATGAAATTGAGTTTGACACCCCTATTCTGGATCCTTTTTAAAAAAAAATTAAAGAAAGTCAGTAAGGACATTTCAACTGACTCTTGATACACAATACAGGTATTCCTCAATGTATGACTGTTCATTTAGTGACCATCTGACGTTACAACAGCACTGAAGAAAAGTCCTCACACTTTGTTGTGACTCCGACTCCCCAGCCTGTCCTCATGGAGGAAGAGGACTCAGAAGGTGAGGGGGAGGAACTGGCAAGGCCTCCCTCTTCAGGACCTTCCTCTCTGGCAGTGCCTCAGGTTCCATCCGAAGGCCAAGAGGAACAGCCTGGGATGTGCCAGGAGGAAGGCATTTCGGATCACCCATTGATAGTGATACTGATGAATCCTGGCTTGATCCCAGGCAGCGTCGGAGGGAGAAGCGTGCGCAGCAAAGGAAGAGGCGCGGGAGGACCATGGATTGAGCTGAGTCACTGAGTCACGCCCCACAAGAGATAAAAGGGGGCATTATTGCTCGGCAGGCTTTGCGACAGACAAATGTTTAAACTCTAAAGAGTCACATCGTGAATCCTGCACTTCGGCTCAGATATATTTTGGACTAAACTCTTGTGGATAATTTGTCACTCTGGAAACGGACTGCAGATAAGGCCTCTCCTGCTTTTTGGGAGTGCTAATTGGATTTGGCAGGTGTTTTACAAGTAGCTGCCAGAACTCTCGTCTGCCAGGAATTCTGGTCTGTTTATACAATACATTATTGGCAGGTGTGTTGGATATTGCATTTGTCTGAGTGAGGACGGGGGACAGAACACACTTACAACCAGCATCCCCACAGTCATACAATTAAAATTTGGGTCCTTGGCAACCGGCATGTATTTATAACAGTCACAGCTTTCCGTGGTGATGTGATTGCCACTTGCGACTTTCCCAGCTGGCTTCTGACAAGCAAAACCAATGGCAAAAGCTGAATTCATTTAACAACTGTCTTATTCACTACAGCTGAACAACTGCAGTGGCAGTGATTTGCCTAACAACTGTGGCAAAAAAAGAATTATAAAATCAGGCACAAGTCACTTAACAATCGCCTTGCTTAACAATAGCAGTTCTGGTCCTAGTTGCAATAATAAATCGAGACTACCTGCAACCTTCAAAGTCATTACCCAACTGCATAGGAACACAAGGGGGATTTTTTCTGGATTAATTTTTCTGAAGCCACTGCCTTGATCTTGGTGAATGCCATGGAGGGAAGTCACCCCTCCTAGAAGAATGAAATATTTTGAGAAATATTTTAAAAGACACAATATTATATTTCCCTAAAGGAGAAACATGCTCTTGGAAAGCAGCCCCCTCTCTTTTTAATAGTCCAGCAGGACTGGGCCAGCCTATGTACAAGACAAAAGACCTCCAGCTCCAGGGTGATGGTATTAAGACATGACCCTCCAGGACATAATAGGATTATCTAGCAGCAGAGCCCACCACATTGCAAATCACCTGGGGACATTGCATCATCCTGCAGGCTTCAACCAAACATCTCAGACAACCTACAGGGTTAGCTATGACCCTTCAACAACCAATAGAATACATGTTCTTGCACAGGAACAGGAAGTTCAAGTGCAAGGCCCAAGAGAAGGTATAAATAACCCTCATTCTCAACTCCATGTGGTCAACTGCACCAGGACCATGTGCTTGGTGGTTCTGTTCACCATTAAACCCTCTTTCCAATCAGCCTCCATGTTTCCAGTGTTTTTATCTCAGATTGGAACTGAACCAGATGGATATTTCTTCCAACACCATCTTTCTTTTCCTGGTTCTCTCTCTCTACCAAATTTGAACCTGTTCTGTTTTCAGAGTGTTCTTTTGATTAGGGTCAGAGAAACAGAGACCAATGTTCCTTTGTCTAACCTTTTTCTTTTCTTAGGTTGGGAAGAATGAAAAGTACAGCTCTCAATTTATCACCCCGTTCACGGTTTCGTGCCTTCTACAGGTGATCAAATATTCTACAGTAGATCAATTATAAACGCGCTGAAATATAACTAGCAAGACATAGGTTCAGACCTCCTTTTAGTCATGAAAGTAAATTGAGTCACTCTCCACCTCTCAGCCTCACCTATTCCTTCAGGTTGCTGTGTGAGCAAAAGTAATGATGGGGGCAGAAGGAAAGAGGCAATCTGAATTACTTGGAGAAAAAGTGGGTTTGTATACTATAGCATTAGTGAGTAGTTCGTTTCAATGTTTTAGATTCAAACTGAATTATATGTTCAGAACTGAGTTTCATGCATATATTTTTTAAATCTGAGGATCTGAGTAAAAAAAATATATATCTTCCTTCCTCTCATAATATATTTTAATCTCACCCCACAGTTTCAATCTAAAAGGCAGCATCTGAGTTCATAACTATATCTCAATATCTTGATAAGAACTAGCATTCCACTGTTCATTGCTAAGATTAGGCACAGTGTATAAAATAGTATTCCCACTGTTTTCTTCATCTGCCTCAGGGTATAACTGGGCCCTGTGCAGATCCTATGTAAGGATTTTCAATTATTGATGGAAATTCATTTAAGATGCCAACTGTTAAAGTAGAACTCAGTGTTTGCTCCCAACGTCCCTCTAAACATTAAGCTTCTGCTTTTTTTCCAATTAAATTCAGCAGCAGCTATTCGTTAGCATGTATTATTCCAGCATTGGAATCCCAAAGCTACCAAGGCCAAGAAATTAGAAAGTCCAAATGCCTGTTTCATGTCTATTTTGAACAGTGCCTCTCTCCTCTGGAAATGGTTAGGAGTATCAATGCTTTCATGGATTGGCTGTTAGAAGCTGTTGCAGCTCAATGATATGGCTTTAGTTCTATCATTTATAGGCAGGGATGGAATAAAGTCTTTCTGAAACCTTGCTAAGTTGCTTCTACTCCTTGTTCTCTGTATCTGGTAAAAGGTATTGATGCAAGTTGTAGTAGCTTTGACCATTTTTGAAGAAAGAAGTGCTTCAGTGGGTGGGGCCATTTTTTTCTAGGTTATTTTGAGAATCTAGAAGGCTTCCCTTGAGCTTATCACTTATCCCGCTAAATGTATCCTGGAGATTCCTTACTGACTATTTCTTATGAACATGTCGTCATGACTTGGACTTCAGCACATTTCCAAGCCATAGTTGATGTTAACTAATTTCAGATATTGATGTAGTATTTTCCATCTTCTCCCAACACAAACCTTGATCGATCCATGATTGCAACACTTTAGTAGTGACATGAAGACATAGCAGGGGACTTGGTTAGCTCCTATTGGCCACTGTGATACCCTCCTCCTCTTTAATTTTAATTTTATGTTGGGCAGCAGGAAAAATCAGACACTAGGCATCTGATTATACAACCATAATACAGACTCTGCACACACACAGAGATAAATGGTTCTACTGATAGGCAGTATTCATAAGGAATAGCAATGGCTGAAGGTGTCATATATATATCTATCAGGGCTTGTCAATAGTTTTTGGGCAGCTGTTTTTTTTTTTTTAAATAAAGCAAGATAATAAGTGTGAGAAAATAATACAGCAAGAAAAGGATGAGTGTTGGAGCAAGCAGTGATGAAATACAGATAAAGCTGATGACTGAAGAAATGATGGAGCCAGCAATGAAACATACAATATGATGAGGCTGACAGGATGCCATCTTGTTCAACCTCTTAACCCTCACCCTCCCTTTCTGGATTATTGATGGAGGAGGGGGAGATCAAGGATTAAATGGAGTGGGCTCTTGAATAATAGCATTTCCAGCTGGTTAAGCATTTACTCTGCCTGAGGGAGACTGATGCTTTGAGAACATATGCTACCTTAATCCATGGCCTTCAGGCCTTTTTGGTCAGGACAAACAGTAAAATCCTTATGAAATTATCCTCCATCACAAAGGTGGTTAAACTCATTTGATGTATTAAGTTTAAGAAAAAATGAATTAAAATGCTCACCGATCATAAAAAGAATTCAGTCATGAGATGAGCTTAGTTATGACTGTCTCTATCGCTGTGCATACAACATCATAATAAAGCTTTTTTTTTTTTTTTTGAAAATTTCTAAAATTTCAATGTAGTCTGTTTCTCCATTGGTGAGAACTCTTGTTTCACCCATCTCGCACCTCCGTTGCTGGGAACTTTTCTTTCTCCTGTCATAGCATTTAACCTCCAGAATATATGGGGGTAGTCTAGAGTGGATTATCATGATCATTGCCTTGGTGGGTACTGAAGAGTAGAAACACTAGAGGCATGGAAGTGCCCTCTCATTCACAACAGCCCAGGGGTGAAATCTACTTACCTTCCTCTACTGGTTCGGAAGTGCACGCGTTGTGCGCGTGCTTACTTCGCTCGCACATGCACTTGTGTCACATGCGCACACAGACCTTCTGCGCATGTGCAAAACCTTCTGTGCATGCGCAGAAGGTAAAAAACACATTACTTCCTGGTTAAAACCAGGAAGTAATGACAGCCAGGTGGGTGGGCGGAACTTTGCTCCGCCATCGCTATCGGATCGCCGAATCAGTGGCCAAGATCGCTACCAGATTGGGCGATCCGGTCCGATCCGGGAGCATTTCACCTCTGCAACAGCCTTTTAACGTTTTCTTATCTGCCACTTCCCAGATGTGGGTTTCAACTCCCCAAATTTCCATGCAGCATAACTGGTACTAAGGACTAATTCTTAAGAGTTCCTAGGTTGTGTTATTGTTATTAGTTAGATTTATGTCTTGTTTCAGCAACAGCCCTATGAAATAGATTGGATCTGAGTGAATGACACTGGTCAAAATCACCAAGTGAGTTTCCACTGACTGTATCTATTCAGTCCTAACCTTAACCTTTAACCATCATACCACACTGACCACTCATAGGATGTTCCAGCAAAGATGTTTGTGAGGTACCAAATTGGGGGAAGTCGATGTAAAGACCTTGGATTGTCAGCCCTGTCTGGACATACTGAGGATTCTACTTGTCATCTGCAATGTAAAAGAGATCTAGGGTACTTCCCTTGAGAAAAAGGTTATTTTAGAGTTAAAGAAGCATCAGAAAAAACATGTGTGTATGTATGAAAAATAATGAGCTGAAGAACTGAAGGCTTCTCCTTATTGCCATCACCTGGCAGCTCATTAAGCATTTCCTCATTGGGGTGAGCAAATGCGGATGTAGGGCACTGTTTGAGGTTTTACATGAAAAGAAACATGCACACACGGATGAGTACTTATATAGATAAAGTTTCCTCTTATAAACAGATCAGTTTCCTCTGTTCTCTGCTGACGCAGATATGGTCGGGGGAGGGCAGACGTTGGCAAGGATATTTATTAGCCCCATGCTAAAGAGCCAGGATGGATGGGACATCTTTAGGAAGGAGGTCCAGCTCAAGGAGCAGATCTTCCTGAGACCATGCCCAGTTGTCCTGGATGGTAAGTGACGGCATCAGGAGACTCAAGGTGTGGCTTGTGGTATCTTAAGAAGCACATGCTATGAGATTTGGGGAGGAAGTTTCTTGGTTTTGATTGTAAACCTAAAACTGAGGTAAAAAGAGAGTGGGGAGTAAGGAAGATACTGGGGAGGTAGAACTGGTTGTGTGTAGAACAAGAGGATGATGTTTCAATGCAGGACAAAGGCACAAAAGAAAGAAATTGAACTCTGAGGTAAGGCAACCTTCCGCACACTTGAAATCCAGGATTTCAGTTCCCAGAACTCCAACTGTTATGACTGAGGCGAGCAGGTTTTTTTTTTTTTTAATTTGATTTATATGCTACCCTTCTCCGGAGACTCAGGGCGGCTTACAGTGCGTTAAGCAATAGCCTTCATACTTTTGTATATTTTATACAAAGTCAGCTTATTGCCCCCACAAACTGGGTCCTCAATTTACCTACCTTAGAAAGGATGGAAGGCTGAGTCAACCTTGAGCCTGGCAAGATTCGAACTTACTTTAATTGCAGACAGCTGGTGTTAAATTACAGTGCCTTGTCCGCAGAGCTATCCAGGCTCCTGGTTAGTCCCATCCTAGAGGACATTCCTTGGGAGAGCATTAGTTGGGGATGGCTATCATCAGGATTCCCCTTCCATTTCAGCCCTAGCAGGCCATGCCTTGGTTTTTAGGTCATCCTTAGTGCTGTAGTCTTCACATCACTAAATGACAAGCAAAATTAGAAGCCTAAATTTTATTGTTAAGTTTCCCCTTCCCCAGTTTCCAGAGAAATCCCAAGGGGCAACCCTACTGGATTGGTTTTCTTTGGAGAAGAGCAAGAGGATTAGAAATATAGGATTGTTTTTGTAACATTTGCTTTGTCTATAAATCCAGATGCAGTGTGTAAGTAGGGACAATAGGATGTTCTTGTTAGGTAGCAAAGACCAGAATTCCCTAGATTAAGTTTGCCTTTTGCTGACCATATGGATCACTAGCTATTTTAGATTCTCAAATTCCCATATTTTTTTTAAAATAATTTTCTACCACATAGTTAAGCAACTTGATGACTTACAGCTGCTTTGGTTATGATCCCCATAACCATTGTCCCTGCTGGTTCTTTCTTTCTTTCTTTCTTTCTTTCTTTCTTTCTTTCTTTCTTTCTCTTTCTTCTTTCTTTCTTTCTTTCTTTCTTTCTTTCTTTCTTTCTTTCTTTCTCTCTCTCTCTCTCTCTCTCTCTCTCTCTCTTTCTTTCTTTCTTTCTTCTTTCCAGATTCAAGTATCCCCTTTTTCCCAGTCATCCATGCTCAGCATTCTTACCTTTCTTAATCCTGTGGGTGAATTGTTCAGTTAGAAATAAGCACTGGCTGGTTTCACTCAACACATCAATCCCCCATTGTAGGTTGAGAAAATATTGCTGTGTTCATGTAATAGGCAACACCCTAGTATGGCTTAATGTGAAGGTGTAATGCACGTGTTCAAGCAAGGCATGAAATCCCCAGCACCAACAAGAAACAGCCTGGCCCCATTCTAGCCTAATCTAGCATGTTGTGTAAATTTAGCCACTGTGATTGATACTGGAAATGTTGACACCTGTTGGTCCTTGCTCTCCTCTGGGGTCATTGTAGACAGACAACTTGATGCCTCCAAAGATTTTGAACTTTGAACCCCACTGGCCCCAATCAACATGACATGGGATTGGGAGCATCTCTGGTTAAGAAACCTTTGGAAGCCCCTGGCCTTCCCAACTCTGAAATAAGCAGATCGCTTAATCTTGAGGCAGAGCCCTTGTCATCTGTTTATAAGATCCTAACCCTCTTTTTCTGTAGCTGTGATGTAGGTGTATGAAACCAAAAGTGAACTGGGACTGACCCTAATATGGAAACAAAAACTTCCCCATCTCTGCCTGTAAATTTCAATTACTGATGCATAAAGAGCTAGATTGAATCTAACCGAGAAAAAGGTCCAATCCTTTTTCAAGAAAAGGATTGGACCAGAGCTTCTCCGATAGTATCTTAAGAGTGATGGACACATTAATTTATATTGTATACTTTTATTTCCATTTTCTGTTTCTTCTCCCATGTATTGTGGTTTCTTATTCAGACTCAAGACATTATTTGAGGCTGTTTCTTCATACAATGTTCTTTAGGTAACCTTTGTCTGTTTGAATTTTAACTCTCAGCAGCTATGTCCAGTTTGGCTCATGATGAGAGATGATAGCAGTATCTCAAGATATCCTGTCTTGCTCCAGAGAGTGCTGGAGCTTAAAAGCATTACCTCTGCTAATCAGCTGCTTATCACCCCAATAAGATGGTTCTAATTTTGCTTAGATCATATTCTGTTGATTTAATATTAACGCGAACAGGAAATTCTTTGTACTTACTTGTTAAAGGTACAAGGATTAAAAAAATGACTTTTTATTTTTATTGATCCTACTATGATCCAGAATTCAACTAAATGTTTGCTACCATTTGCAAACCGCAGATGGAGAGGTCAGGCACTTCTGACTTGATGAGGGCAAAGGATTAAATCTATCCCCCACCATCGCACAAATATTGTTTGTTTGTTTTTTTAAAAAAAATAAGTACATAATGGTACATTCCATGTATAGTCCATGTGACAAAAATGATGTCTACTTTGGCCCCTCCCTCCAAGATGGCTACTGATTGATAAGGTTTTTTTTTTTCCTCTTACCGACGATCTGCTGATTTCACTGTTAAAGCTGGTTCTTTGGCAGTGCTGCTCCCTGGTTTTGTATGGGAGCATTTAGGAGTGACCCAAGACAACTTTTGGATGATTGTGGACCCAGTAGGGAAGGGGGTATTGAAGAGTTCAATTCCCTCTGGAAGCTATTGAAGTCATTGGGCATATCCATCTTCCTGTTAAGCATTTTATTTTCTAAGCATGCCAAAATTTTAACTTTAACTTTTTGATTTTATTGTTTTATTTTGCTCTTTGCTTTAAAAGTTGATCAGTGGTTGAATGCTGGTTTGTTTCAACCCCTTGCTGGACTCTAATCATTTTTTCTTTTTCTTTTCTCTTTGACATATTTTGTTTTCGATAACCTTTGTCCCTTCCATATGGAAAACACATCAATGTTTGGGGTGGTGGTGGAGTGACGTTAGATTTCCACCACTGGATTCTGTATTCTTTGAATTTGCAAAATACCTGGAGATTATTTCTATTGAATTTTTCTCATAATTTTGAATTGAAATATAAAGGAAAATATATCTTCTTGTTGTTTTTGTTCCCTGATTATGATTCAAAGATTAAAATGGCTAAGCTGTTGTAGACAAAATAACGGACTGGGCAAGCTCTTCAATGCAGGAAAGAGTTTATTGCGCAAGGTTCAAACAGTCCAAAAGGTCTGAATGCCGATGGCTTCTTCTGGCCATGTATTTATACAGTTTAAAGGCAAAAGTATTACAGAGAGTGATGCATTTCACACGTAGAAGCTACCCTTTAATCTATCTCTAGGAAAGACATAACAGCCCTGTTCCCACAGGCTCAGATTTTCAGCTCCGGAGCTCAAGACATAACAAAAGGAGATAAGAGGCTAGGAGACGCCTCAAGGGCAATAAGGAAGCAGCACCCCTTATCCAGGGATATGCATGACATTTGGGATGCAATAAACATTAAACAACAGAATGTATCTGTTTAGGGTCAGTTTGCCCTTTTACAATTCTGTACCTACGTCAAATACCGTTTGTCATCTCAGCACCTTGGCACGGGAGAGGCACTTCTGTCTTGACCAAAGATTTGGATTTCTAATATTTGAGTTTTATCCCAATATCGAATCTTAGCCTGGCTCAAAACAGTATCTGAAAAATGATGTCCAGGGCCGGGCATCTCACCCAAACTTTGCTGCAGGGTTTATCAAGAATCTGCAACTTTCAGCTGAAACTGCAGACAGGAAACAAACTTCTCAGTGTCTTGACTGCTGCTCGTGATAAGAACATTGCTTGTCATTCTTTGGTAGGATGAATGCAGCTCTCCTTAGAGGCCAAACCTCTAAAGCCAAGTTATAAATCTATTTCACAGCACTTTTATTCAAACAGACCCATTTGGATCCGAACTGTGTTTTGGATTCTAACCCCTGTTACTCCTAGCCACTCTGTCAGGGAACACTGGGATATGTAGCCAAGAAATCTGGATGTCTACAAGTTGAGGCAGATGAGTCTAAATCAGAAAAAGCAGTACTGAAGGGGACAGACTCTGCTGTCATGTTGTAAGCATCTGTTATACAGATATACCGATGATATGATAGGAAGGACAGCTGCAATATGGATGAGCGGCTGCTAATAGATTCTCCACATCCCTTTTCATTGGGAGATGCCTACTGTTAGTAATAATAACTACATCATTATTTACTAATTACAATTACAAATAGTGAAGCTGACTCTGGAAAGGATCAAAGTTAATCCCGAAGGATCAATGGTGGATCAACAAAACCTCTTTCTTTTGATACAGTCTGTCACACACTATACTAAGCAATGAAAACTCATTATTTTTATTTAGCTTATATCGGATGAAAAAAGCACCGGAAACTTAACATTTTTTTGGGGGGGGTTGATATTTGTTTTGTTTCCTTCCTTATTTTCTCTCTACATGTGAGTAAATCATGGTAAAGTTTCACTTCAGATGCTCAGAGAAATATTGGAGGTGCCATAAAGGTGCTATGATTTCTTTCCTTCTCTTAGATGCTAGCCATATTATTATTTTAATGTTTCCAAAGGTGTTAAACCAGGTTTGCTGCCTTGGGCCTGCTCCTCCTCAGTTTTTGAGTGGGCCTTTGAAGCCTCAGCTTGAGTGCATAGTTGAATAGCTATTTTCCATGAAGGCAGCCCCTTTTCAGCTCCTGATAATTCCAAATATAAATTGTTCTGCTTCTCTCACTCTTTGGTATTTGGGATTGATGCGTCTGAGCACTTGGTTCAAAGACATGGTCAATTATTGCTTGCTGATTAAGTCGTTATTCTGAACGGTTATATTACCCAGTTCCTGATCTAAGAATCAATGACTTATCAATGATAAGCAATTATGTTATTTTTCACCAAATATCATCTTGAGCTTCTCAGGGAGTGTATCTCCATTTTAATCTGGCGTGTCCCAGAGTCATCAGGAGTTGGGAATAATAACAATTAAAAAAAATCGATGTCAGTGGTTGAACACTCTGACCTCATTATCTGAAAAAATATCAAATGGATTGGTAGCTGATTCAAATGAAAGAGTGGGGAATTCTGCCAAACAGCGTCCATCAGTTCTCTGATGTTCTTTTTTTTTTTTTTTTAATGGTTCTTAGGTTCTCACGAATCATGGAGAATTTCATTTTATGGCTGAGCCAGTTTTCCTGGGAGAGGCAACAGGCACAGATCTGCATGGTGTACTTTAGGTGTACAACAGAAGTGGAGCAAGCTTGAAGGTTTTCCTTGGAGAATACTTTCTTGAAAGGTAGGATACCTACATCCATTCTGGAGTATTGACCCCACCACGGGTTTCTTTATATCTCTCTTCTCCCTAACACTCCCTATAATTCCTATATTTCTTAAAAGATGTATTTGCATAGCACAATATTCTCTGCGATCTATGCTGTGGCATAATGCTGTGTTAAGGATGCTCCCTCTCCAGAACTACACTACTATGCCTGTAATTTCACATAGATACTATTCTGACCCAGCTCTCCAAACACAACAAACCCTCTGAAGTTAACTCAAAGATTCCTTTATTAGGTGCGCCAGCAGCCCCAGCAAAAAGTTTCTCTCTCAACGCAGGCTAACAAGTCCCTCCGGCCAGAAGATGAATAGTTCTCTGCCACATCTATTCATCTCCGTCCATTGCTTTTTATCCCCAGAGCTAGGGAGGGGCTTCGCTAGCAGCAGAGGCTCTTCCTTCCCAAGGATCGGCCCATGGATTTCCACTGCTCTCCTCTCCTCAGCCTTCTGCGCATCTGTGTGTCAGGCACTGGACCCAGTTGTTCCTCCTCTTCCTCATCAGCCACCTCCAGACCTGGGGGCTGTTGACTCTCCATCTGAGGGCTGACGGACGGCCCAGGCTCCGCCTCTGTCTTTCTCTCTGTGCCAGCTCCACTCCCTCTTCCCCCTCGGAGCTTTCAGGTTGCCTTGATGCTGACCCTAACTCCCATGCCTCCTCCTCTGATTTGGCTGTTGGAGGGGCTGGCGGCCAACAGGCCACAACAAATACCTGCAATGCCTGATGATGAATGACTAGCCTAGCACTGTTCCCAAGCCACTTTTATCTTCCACTCCTTTTAGAAGAGCTTTCTTTAGAACAGTAACAACACAACGAAGGGGGGAAAAAACAGCATCATCATAAATATGGACATCCTGTTTATATGGACATCGTGTCCCAAATGATCTGGGCTGGGTGTGGGTAATGAGAAGGGAGGTAATATAATTTGCATTCAGTTTGTTGGTGGTACATATGTCACTTCAGAAATGTCTCCTTGTTTATATTCCACGTCTTTTTATTTATATTCTACAACACAAATGAACTGGGGGTGATTGCTGAAGTAATAATGTGGCGTATCAGGAGGATGCTAGTGGAAAAGGTTGCTAGGGGTTGAATGTGAGGAACTTTCTGAGCTGTAGAGCAGAAGCACTTTTAGTTTTAACTCCAATGTTTCTCAATCTCAGCAACTGTTAAGATGTGTGGACTTCAACCAGAATTCCCTAGCCAATATGGCTGGCTGGCTGGCTGGTTGGGGGAATTCTGAGAGTTGAAATCCACGCATCTTAAAGTTGCCACGGTTGAGAAACACTGCTTTACTCTTTGCTGCTGGAAATTGTGCAAACCATACAATGTTGTTGTCCTAATCTATGGGCTTTTTCCTGGGAATTCAACCATCCATGTATATCCCTCCTCTGGATCCCTGTTCAATTTAGTTTGTAATCTCTAGCTGGATTGGTATTAGATACAGTTTAGGTAGCATGAAAAGAGGTGAGGGAGGTCGGATATATTTTGTTTAAGGGGGGCAAATTGTTTGTGACTTCTCACTCAAAATCTTACCCTGGAATCCCCAGAGATGGGCAATTATAGGTCGCTATATACAATTGTAAGTCAGTCTTTAACATTCTGTCAATGCACCCAAGGCTATAAAAACCATTATTTACATTAATGAAGTGGATTATTGAGGTGGGCAATTTAGAAATAGGAAAATGATTAATGATCTAAAATTGAAAACAAATAATAGATGAATAAATTTAGTAACAATGTTCCATACACCTTGGTGTACAGTTATGCTGGCCACATGACCACAGAAGTGTTTTCGGACAATGCTGGCTCCCTCGGCTAGGAAACGGAGCTAAGCACCGCCTCCTAGAGTCGGACATGATTGACAGGGTAAATCTTTACCTTTACCATTAGATTATTAGCTGTACAACTGCAAAGACTTGGCTGTTTGGACAGCAGCAATGGTGTCTATTGAGGACAAATCTCCTAGCAGTATTCCTATAGCTTGGAAGGGATGCAGGGAAAGTTCTCTGCAGACAGTGCTCTGAAAATTATGAGCATATTTCAGCAGGCTTGTCCTGTTGACTTAGTGCCTAAAAGGTTGACCCTACATCACATAATCAAACATTCATATCTTTCTGTTTTGAGAGCTTAAGAAAAAGCGGCCTCTAATACCGTTCTGATATAGGCAGCTTCCTATTCCAATTCTGTAATGCAGGAGAGGATAATAACATCCTCATTCTGGTTCTAACACATCACAAATGCAACCCACATATGTTCACTCAGCATTTCACCTGTTCCAGTCTTATATTTATGCCAGTTTGACTCGAATCTGTTTTTAAGAAAATATGCTGAGAACATGGAATCTATTAGAATGGAGGAGAAGAGGAAAATATGTGGTCTCAGATCACTTTAGTTGTGAGTGGAAAGTAGAAGGCAACATTTCTCTCTCCCTCCCTCTCTCTCTCTCCCTCTCTCTCTCTCTCTCTCTCTCTCTCTCTCCCCCTCCCTGACTCCTACCCTCTCTCCTCTCTCCTTGGTTTTGTTTTATTGTTCTTGTGAGCCACCCACAATCGTATTTTATTATGGGGCACATCTTGATACTTTATGTCAGTGGTGGAGTTCAATTTTTTTTTACTACCGGTTCTGTGGGTGTGACTTGGTAGGCATGGTGTGGCTTGGTGGGTGTGGCAGGGGAAGGATACTGCAAAATCTCCATTCCCACCCCACTCTGGGGCCAGCCAGAAGTGGTATTTGCCAGTTCTCTGAACTACTCAAAATTTCTGCTACCGGTTCTTCAGAACCTGTCAGAACCTGCTGAATTTCACCCCTGTGTTTTGTTTTGTTTTGGGCTTTTCAAAGAATAGAATCAATCAAAGACAGAGTGTCATGCATTTTCATGTATCAATCACCAGAGGGAGCAATCTGCAGTCTAGAAATGGCTCTGGAGAGAGGCAACTGAAGGATGTGAATAAATCCTGAAACAACAAACCACACACATCCCTTAATATCCAGATTTGACCTCTCTGACTTCTCCCTCCACACTTGCTGCTGGAACTTTCATTGCAAATCGGTCAGGTCAGGGTGTTTCTAGAGCTGTTATCATGTGTCTTATTGCTTTCTTAATAAATTATCAGAGCAATTGAATAGATGTTTGTTTATAATAGCAATAGCACTTAGACATATATACCACTTCATAGTGCTTTTACAGCCCTCCCTAAGGGGTTTACAGAGTCAGCCTATTGCCCCCAACAATCTGGGTCCTCATTTTACCCACCTTGGAAGGATGGAAGGCTGAGTCAAACTTGAGCCAGCTGAGTTTAGAACTCAACTGAAGCAGCAGATCAGCTAAGTAGCCTGCGGTAAACTCTAACCACTACGCCACCTTGGCTCTTAAGTACCGGTAAGCAAGTAAGCCATAAGTAACCCATACTCAGTGCAGGCAAACCAGATCTGCTGCTTCAGTTGAGTTCTAAACATCTGGAACTTCGAGGTTGGGATATATAGGAAGGAAGAAGTAAATATGCATGGGATATAAATATAAAGTCACAGTAAAGGGAAACTAATTTAAAATGAACATATCTAAGATTTTGTGAAAACTGGCTTTGTTTGCTCCTGCAAGCTACTTATGTGTACCATGTATTTTTAGGTATAAGTTAGCAGTGGGAGCAACAGAATAAATTTAAAGCAAAAAAAAAAAAAAAAAAAGCAGATAGGAATTTCCTGTCTTGTCTGTTTGCTGAAGTACACACTGCAAATTCCTGTGTGTAATCTTTTCATTTTGAATTTATTCTGTTGCTCCCTCTTGTGACTTGTACGTGAAAATACACCACTCTCCCTTTTATGAATTTTGTAGCTTGAAAACCTCAAAGCAAGGAATAAAGCCTATAAAAATTAAGATACAACACCCTTAAACAACAACAAACCATATCAACCCCAAACCAATCCAAACTCAAAAAGTACAAAAATAAAAATACAGAAAATATAGTTATATCTTTTTTTTCTTCAAAAAAAAAGTACTTCTCAATATTTTAAATAAGGAATTAAAATTTGACTTATGAGAATAGATGGCTGCTTTTTTCATTCTCGCATTCAGCACTAGATAAAGTTGAAGTGATTGCCTTGGAATGAAATTGCAAGGGGATTTGGGGGAAATTTCAGCAATATGAATTTTCATTAATATGAAGGCAACTTTCTAGGTTTTTTTTTTTTTAGGAGGGAGAGGAATCAGGAAATAATCTTGTCCCAAATTGTCTCTGCCATGGTCAATAATTGCACTTTGCAACATATAATCCACAATGTATTGGATAACCATTTGTCTGAAGTGGTGTGTACCGTTTCCTGCCTAAGCAGGACTAGAAAACCTTCAAGGTCCCTTCCAACTATGTTATTCTGTTCTATTGTATTCTAATAGTATAGCTGTAAACACAAATCTGTGAAAGAACCCAACACAGAGAAGAATGCTGGCTTCAGTTTAATTAACTATACTGTCATGATTTTACATATGTATAAACAGAATACCCCCACCATGTTCATTTCCTCCAAATTCCAAGACCTACCACAGAACAAACTTCACAGATTTTCAGAACCCAGACTAAGTTGAATTTAAATTATATACACGTTCAAAGTTTGAAAAATTGTAAAACTTTTAAGTATTTCTCCAGTGGATAAACCATGGATAAAATATTTGCATTTTCTTAAAATAATATTCTGAAGAGGAGATTGCTTTAGGAAATGGGCAGCATGTAGACTTCCTTCTTTCCTTCCTTCCTTCCTTCCTTCCTTCCTTCCTTCCTTCCTTCCTTCCTTCCTTCCATCCGATAGCTTAAATGAGGGTGTCCCCTAATTCTATCATTACAATAAACCAGAGGTACTTTAGACTGAGAGAGTGTGATGACCCAAAGCTACCTTATATACTATATAGTTGGCTGAAGACTTCTTCCCAGATGTTCAACACATTCCTACACAGAGACAACACACCA